AGCTGGGACTACAGGCACCCGCCACCACGTCCGGCTACTTTTTGTATTTTTAGTAGAAACGGGGTTTCACCATGTTAGCCAGGATGGTCTCAATCTCCTGACCTCGTGATCCACCCACCTCAGCCTCCCAAAGTGCTGGGATTACAGGCATGAGCCACTGCACCTGGCCAACTTTTTTTTTTTTTTTTTTTTTTTTAAATATCATTTTCACTTTCTTCCCCCCATACAAAATGTCACAATGGCTTCCCATTACCTATTGAATAATAGTAAAAATAGCTAATATGTCTTAAGCACTGAACTGTTTGCCAGGCAGTGTGGTGAGAACTGTACAGCCACCTCATCATCCTCATTCTTATGGTCATCTTCATATGGATGAAGAAACTGATGCTCAGGTGACGTCACCTGCCTAAGTTTGCACAGGTAGTAGGTTATAGAGCTGGGATTTGACTCAGTTCTGTTTGTCTCCAAAGCCTGTGGTCCTGACAACAACGTGATTCTGGCCAAATTCTTTAAATTCAAACTCTTTGATTATTTAAGAACCTGTAAATCTGGCCCTGTCTTACCTCTCCTGTTTTCTGTCTTACTACTTTGTAGCACAAACTCAGTTTCAGCCAAGGTAGTCTCACTATCTCTAAATCTGTTGTATTTTTTCCCTCTCCTAAACTTTTGTTCATATGGGTTCTTCTGCTTGGAATACCCTTCCCTCTACTCACTGCTTGTTCGTATTTTATACATCTTTGAAGGACTAGGTCAAATCTTTATTTATGTATATATTTGTTTATTGAGACAGAGTCTCATATTATTCCAGGCTGGAGTGCAGTGGCACAATTGTGGCTCACTGCAGCCTCAATCTCCCAGGCTCAAGAGATCCTCCCACTTCAGCCTTCTGAGTAGCTAGGTCTACTGACATGAGTACCATATGTGCCCGGCTAATTTTTTTTTTCTTTTAGTAGAAATGAGGTCTTGTTATATTACCCAGGCTAATCTCAAACTCGTGAGCTCAAGGATTCCTCCTGCCTTGGCCTCCCAAAGTTCTGGGATTACAGGCATGAGCCACCGTGCGTGGCCAAATTTTAATTCTTTCACACAACTCACACCACTCCTCTATTATGGACTATCCCAAACATGTATTATTTATACTATAGACAACAATCTTTAAACTCTTTCGATCACATATCACATCAGGAGAAAATGTTTGAGCACATGCCTCCAACACAAGTATACTGCATTTACTTATACATTTTGGACATATACCACTTTACTATTATATATCATGTGAATCATAGAATATATAAAGTAGAAATATAAAAAAAGGATGAGATAAGAATGAAATGATGTTTTTAGAAAATTTAAAAATTTGGCCCGGTGCAGTGGCCTGTAATCCCAGCACTTTGGGAGGCCGAGGTGGGTGGATCATCTGAGGTCAAGAGTTCGAGACCAGCTGGCCAGCATGGTGAAACCCCATCTCTACTAAAAATACAAAAATTAACTGAGTGTGGTGGCATGCACCTGTAATTCCAGCTACTCAAGAGGCTGAGGCAGTAGAATTGCTTGAACCTGGGAGGCAGAGGTTGTACTGAGACAAGATTGTGCCACTGCACCCCAGCCGGGGCAACAGAGTGAGACTCTGTCACAAAAATAAATAAATAAATAAATAAATAAATAAATAAATAAATAAATAATTTT